TGCCCTTTTCAATTATCTTAATTTAATTCAATTTTTTATATATTATTAGGACTTTATTAATTGTTATATCTATACTTTCTGTATTCTTAAATGAAACTGTTTTATTATAAATAAATAACATTAAAAATTTCTACATTAATTGTTGATGAAACCCCGTAAAATAACTCCCACTGACATTTCTTTACAAATACAAATGTTATTAATTTAAATATTTAAAAAATATGAAGAAATTGTTAAAATGGAGGGAAGCAGACTGGAGTATCGGTACAATTCCTTCTCGCCAGAGAGATTTAATTGTCACGCTTACTGGTAAAATAAATTGAATAAATAATAAAGAAAGAAAATGTAAGAATAAGAAAAGGAAAAAGAAAAAGAAAGAAAAGAGATCCTGCAACCTTATTTTGCATATATATTCTATATTTAGGTTCGTAGATGGATCCGAATACTTTTCAACCTTAGCCGATGCTCTGTACTCTGCTACAAAAGAAATTTACATATGTGATTGGTGGTATTTTTATTTGATAAAAAATTAAATTTATGTTTTGCATTATATTGACTTATTGTAATATCTATAAATACTGCAATAAAGCCGTCAAACTTTATGTAAAATTAATACTTCATAAAATTATTTCAATTAACTTTCAATCCATCATAGTATATACCTAAACAGCATTTATATAATTAAAAGGGGGAATTTGCTCAGGTCAAAAGATATTTAACTCACTAAAGCACCCCTAACTTTAAAAATGGTAGTGGTTTAATTAAATTAAAGTAATTATGAAATCTCTAAACTTATGATCATAATAGCGGGGGATTAAGGAACAAATGAAATTGTTGGAATTTTAAAAAAAATTATGGAAAGTGAAACTTGGTATTAATATTAAGCCAATCTAACTTAGAGGTATTAGATATGTTTTTTAAAGATAGATTCTTTTATTTGAAAATTGATATAATTTAAAAATGTGTTAAAAATCAGGTTGAGTCCTCAATTGTATTTAAAAAGACCACTGCGTTATGATTGCGACAATTGGAGATTAGATACAATCTTGAAAAAAAAAGCTGTGAGTTATTGATTATGTATAAAATATATAATTTATATATTTTGAATATTTAACCAAAACAAATTATCCACTTTAACTAAGATTTTCATAAGGGAGATTTTTGAACTCCTCATAAATTTTATTGGAGAGTTTTAGGCCCTCCTTTTTTTAAAAAATAGTATCTTATACTTAATTTTTTTTAAAATTATTGTCCTTGATTTTGTTATTAAACTGCTTTATAAAATAAAAATAAAACATCCGTTGTAAAACGACCGATAAATTTGATTTGAGAACTTGTTTTCTAAAGCCATAGAAGTTGATATTTAATTATTTTTTAAAAAAATGCCAAATTAATTACAGTAAGAACAACATGAAGAAGAAGAGGACAGGAATGTGGCTATACGATAGGAACTAAGAGGGATAAGGAAATGTTTGAAAGAAATGCTTGTATTTACTTCTTTCAATTTATATCATTAATAACATATTGTTATGATTTTTAGAATGAGAAGATGGGGGGGGGGGGAGATGTCTAGGGAGATTATTTTAATTCGCTTAAAAGGTAATTCGAAAACTTGAAAAGACTAGGTGATCTATATATAAATACTCTTAAATTTATTTTAGATGAATTAAAGAGAGGATTTTATTTTATCAAAATATAGTAAATCAAATAAATCGCCGGGGTGGCCTAGTGGGTTATGATGTAGGCTTGGAAACAGAAGGTCCCAGGTTCAATCCTGGAAAGGAACGTAAAAATTTTCCGATTTTTCTTCGATGACTGATGTGTAAAGACATATAGTAGGATGAATTTCGGAGCTTAGAGATGATACCCCGGTCACCGACAGGCTTGGACAGCCGGGTGCTAAGGATACTTGTCCTATAAACAAAAATAAAGGACACAAATGAAAATATGAATATGAAAGCTATCCAAGCGACGCGCAGGGTGTAGACCTCCATCCTGCGAAAATTAAAATAAAGATCAAAGCAAAGAAGACAAGGTTAACAAGTTTAAATTTTGGGACACTTAAAGGTAAGAATGGCATACGATGACATGTATGAAGATCTACATACCAAAGAAGGGCAAAATAAAATATACAGATTAGCCAAACAGCGAGAAAAAAATTCTAGGGATATAAACGGAGCTCCGAAAGTAATCAAAAATAAAGATGGGAAATTGATGATGAAGGAAAAAGAAATAATGAATAGATGGAAAGAATATTTTCAGGAGCTTCTCAACTTTAATCCCCACATACTACATCTAGATGAACACTCCCCTTGTCAAAACCTTGTACAACCAATAACAGAACAAGAAATAATCGCATGCCTCAAGCATATGAAAAATAACAAAGATAGGGGTCCAGATGATATTTTAATAGAAAGCCTTAAAGCATTAGGAGATGATGGAATACATCTCCTCACAAATCTGTACAATAAAATACTGGGAAATGAAGAGATTCCTCAAAAATGGAGGCAGAGCTATCTAGTTCCTATCTTCAAAAATAAAGGGGATCCACACAATTGTCAAAATTACAGTGGCATAAAACCAATCTCACACTGTCTTAAACTCTACGAAAAAGTAATAGAAAAAAGATTAAGAGACATAATCGAAATAGGAGAGACTCAGTTTGGCTTTATGCCTGGAAGATCAACAACTGATGCAATCCATGCAATTAGGCAAATGAGTGAAAAATACAGGGAAAAGAATAAAAAGCTACTCATAGTCTTTCTTGATCTAGAAAAGGCCTTCGATAGAATCCAAAGAAAACCTATCTGGTGGGCGCTACGCCACAAAAAGAGTCCCGAAAAAATATATAAGAATAATATAGTATATATATGTATATATGGGCTACAACAATGATCCGTAGCACAACTGGTACTTCAGCAGGCTTTACAATAGCCTAGGGAGCATCAAGGGTCGGCTCTCAGCCCACTTCTCTTCAAAACAGTAATAGATGTATTAGCACAGTCTATACCATAAACAGTCCCGTGGAATATGATATTTGGAGATGTTATTGTGATACTTACCGAATCCAAGGATGAAATGAAAGAAAGATTAGTGAGTTGGATAAATATAGAAAAGCATGGACTAAAAGTAAATAGAGAAAAGAGAGAGTATATGGTGATAGGAGGAGATAAAACAGAGCCAACTATTCTATATATCGGAAACATGGCCAACCAAAGAATCAGACGAAAGAGGTCTACAAACTATGGAAATGAGAATGCTGAGGATAATTTCTGGGGTAACAAGAAAGGATAAGGTGCTAAGTACAAGAATACTAGGAAGTTTAAAGGTAGTGCCCATTAAGACTAAGATAATGGTAAACAGACTTAGGTGGTATGGGCATACAATGAGAAGGCCATAGGAAATAAGGAGTTTGGAAGTTGTGGGTAAACGTAAAAGAGGAAGGCCAAAGCTTCAATGGGGCCATAAAGTTAGAGCAATATGAAGAACTATAAATTAGATAAACGAGATAGTATGAATAACATAAAGTGGAGAGAAATATTGAAGTAGCTTACCACCAGTAAAGGTGAATGCTAAAAGAGAAAAAAAAATATCAAAATAAATAACTAATATAATACTATAACACGAAAGTAGTTTACTTTCGGTATTTTTGTTCATTTATTTCTAATTTAGCTAAGTCCCTCTCTACACTAAAGCTATTTCAACTTATCTTAGTTTATTCATATCATTAGTCTTTCCCACTCAGCATGACAGAAAATGTATTAAATATAAACCTCTCTCAAAAGCCTATGCCTACCTCCCTAAAAAAAATTGCCGCCTTTTGGCTATATTCCTACCTATTAATTACGAATTTAAAATAACTGTAATCCTTTTATATTTATTACAAATAATATATTACATTATCAATACTCTATTACAAACTAACAAAAAAATTGTGAATGTCAAAGAGTTATTTTTATAATATAAATTATTTTAAGAACCTTCTACGCATTTACAATGATGGTTATGAATTTAGGTTTGCTGTTATGATAGAATGTGTGCCCCATTTTTAAATTACATTTAAGAATATAGCAGAAAATTATCCAGACATATGTCTTTGTTGTAAAATTACTTAATAACGACTACCTTCTTACCAAGCTTCTTAACCAATCCATCTAGTCTCTTGTATAGATAACATATTTATTCTCCTACTTATTGGTCTTCCGGTCTCTTACCAGCATTTCATTGCCAGGAATAATATCCCATCATTCTTTTTATAGGATACAGGTGTACTTACTTTACATATTTTTTTGTAATCTGTAATGTATTTAAATAAATTGATTTTTATATTTGCTTAAAGCTACAATTTATTACAATTTATAAAAATAGAAAAACATATATATATATTTTATTATATGAAATAAATCACTTTATATTATTGTTCTAAATACATTTCATAATCATTAATATTAAAAATTTAAAGCATAATTTTAAGACCAGGTGAAATTCTTCATGTTAATGCTCATAGTGATGCCAATTCCTTCTTGATATTTTTGATGTAAAGACAGATAAACTCCCAAAATAACATGTGATTTCCCCAAAATTAATATTAAAAAAATTATCTTATAAATTTTTTTTATAAGAGTGGAGTTTAATATATTTTAATTTAATATAAGTCATCTATAAATTATGTAATATTTATATTTAGGAACAGGGGGTAAAGATATTTATATTGGTATATAAAGAGCTTCCTTTCGCACTTGGAATCAACAGTTATTATACAGAAAATTTTCTATCAAATGTTCACCCCTATAATATATATGTAAATTATATTAAATTTGATTTAAAACTCTTTTACTATGCCATTATTTTTAGAATTCCTATCCAAAATTACAAATTACAAACTTAGGAATAAATATTTTTTAAATATTTAAAGGTTCTGAGGCACCCAGACCATCTGTTATCTAAAGTTTTTCTATGGTCTCATCACGAAAAGATAGTTTGCATAGATCAACGTATAGCTTTTCTAGGTGGATTGGATATATGTTATGGTAGATGGGATGATCAAAATCACAGGTTAGGTTAGCATAAAAATATCGTAAAATGTTTTAATTTTCTAGAACATATGTGGGTTTAAATTTTCTACATAGCATAAAAAAATAAATAAAATAATTCATCCTTAATATCCATTTATATTAAGTATTCCCATATATTTTGTTCTTTTAAATGAAATTTTTATTTCTTCCTTATTCAAACAACAGTTATGTCAGAAATTTGTATAAGTTCTAATTCTATCTCCATTTTTGGGCTTAATTGAATTTATTTATTTTGAAGAATCCTCCTTCGTCTTTTTTATTAATTCAAAATAGTCTTTAAAAAATTTAAACTTTATACACTAGGTTTACATTATAATAAGATAATATTACACCTAGACGTCTGCAACGGGCGAGTTTTACCTCGCTTGGTGGTGGATCATTCGGTGGACGGGTAAATATTTTACAACAATGAGAGTTAGCTAAATTTCATTTATTTATTCATTACCACGCCAGAAATTGCACGACAATTTTATCATCCACCAGGAGTTGTAGCGTGCACCAGGTATAATCACTAATATAGAGATTCTATACATGATGTATACCCGTTTTATTATAGTGGACGGTACCACTATGTAGTCAGCTAGCATAGTGAAGAAGAGAGGAGTAAGAAAGAGGTGATCTATGAGTTCCGTTACCGGCAGGATAGTGTTAAAAAAATGTAAGGCATGTAATACAACTAAAACAATATTAATAATAATGTACCTGACGCCTGGTTAGATTATTATTTAAGAGAAAAAAAAAGTCTTATGTCCGGTAAATATATCCTTGGAAGATAACGCTATGCCTATATAGCGTGTCCTGTTCCAGAGGAATTATATGTGTTCAGCATTCGAGCTGCAGTATAAGGTGTATCCTAAGAGATTTCGCATTTCGGTTTCTTTCAGGTGAGTTTCTTGTAAAAGGAAGATGTTGTATCGTTGATTTTTTATAGCTTGTCTAAGAATAGTCAATTTGTCGCTTAGCGATCTTATATTTAAAAAAATCATCCTAATTCTGTGATCTTTCATTGATAAAAAATTTTTTTTCATTTATTATGATTGCCGTGCAAGAAGGAATGAATGAATGAAATATATATAGTATAATTGTATATTATAGTTGAATTAAAAGAGTCTTATTTTTATTATGTGCCACCTAAACATATTAATATCCCTTACATTCCACAATTGAGGGTGGGGGGGGGGGGTATTAGATCGGGTAACATCTTTCCCCTAAGATCAGTCAGGGGCCCACTATTCTATGGGGGTTGGGATTGTTCCTAAGTATAAATAAGAATGTGTAATTACTCATTAAGAAAACTAAATAAGGATTCTTCAGTGCAGGACTTCGGAACGACACCTAGCCAGCCATATTATTTTCTGCAACCAAACTGTTATGAGGAAAAAACCTATGTGCCTACGGTTAAATTGATACATTAGACCTCTAGATTAAGAATACGACTACATTATAATGGTATAATGGAGTCTATCTGCTCAAGGTTGGATTCTTTGGGTTGTATAAGAAGAGTTAATAAGCTAAATATACTTAACCTGCTGTCGTGCAGCAACAAGCAAAAAAATTGATTTACACACTACTATATACCACTAACCGTCAAGTATCGGTAACATAGTAAAAAACATATCAATCACAGGTAATAACATGTTATATTATATATATTATTTAATGGAGGTAACCAAGGGTTTGATACAAGAATTTCTCCAATTCTCTTCCAAAGTATTGTTTAAATTCTGTCAGAGGACATTTCTATCACCTGGCGATTTTTAAATAGATGACATTTGAGCAAATTTCAGTGCCCGTTGTATGATCAATACAAAGAGTGTGTTTTAGGATTCGACCATTTTAAGAGAGACTGTAAAGGCTGTGTGGTTCTTTTACATCAACAAGTGAGCTGAAGTCTAAGCAATTGTGAGGTTGGGTTGGCTATCAAGCAGTTTAAATGAGTACCAATGGCGTGAAGAGTTCGTTTTAGTCGTAAAAAGAACAGCTTGCAAATTTCGATATTAATATATCTATCTGATACTTTAGATTGAGGAAGAATCTGTCAATCCTAATTTTTCACAAGAATATTATAAATTAAATTCTAAATAAAAAATTTACAGTTTATTTATTTTAAATATTAATTTTATGATCTGAGTTAGAAGAAATAAAGATCATCCGTTTCATCCTGATAAAAATATAATATTTCTAAATTTTTCTATACGATGATGTTGTTTACATAATTATTAGTTAGAAAATAGATAATAAAAATCTTTACAAAAATTTTATATACGGTATATTCCAGTAGCGTACGCAGGAATTTAGTGTGTAGGGGGGGGGGGGATAATTCAAATTTTTAAAATAAAATTATTGTTATTTAAAAATATCAAGCATAAATTTATTAGGACTAATAACTATTTCTAATATACAAATTTAAATTAATATGAATTATAAAAAATTAAATATATAAACCGATATATAAAAATAAATTTGATTTAAAAAATATTAAACGAATATAACCGGCGGCATATAAATACTTTAAATAAATCTGAATTATAAAATATTAAGTGGATATAACCAGGATATGATGACTATAAAATAAATAATCCATAATAGAAATTTAAATTTTTTTGAGCTTTTAAAATTTATATATAAAGTATAAAAAATCTAAATGTTGGAAATATGAATAATTATATTTTTTATGTAAAAGAAAAATATATGACATTAAAAAATGATAGCACAAAAAATATTATAGAAACATTATATCTTTATAATGTAAAATCCAATCTTCGTTGGGAGGGAGCTAATTTTTCAATTATCTCATCCGTGTTTGGCGTCAAATGCCTATGAATATTCAAAAGGGCCAGACCATTCAACCTACTTTCAGAAGTTGTACTTCTTAGGTACGTTTTTAATCTTCTTAAAGAAGAGCATGTTCTCTCATTAGTTGCAGTACTAATGGGAAGAGTTGCTAATATATATAATAATTTCAATATATTGGGAAAATAATCTAAAAGATGTTTGAAATGATGCAAAGCATCATAGCCTTTTTTGGGACTATATCAACCATAGTTAATCTTTTATACCATAGTTGGCATTCAATAAAGCATCATGAGATACATTAATGTCTTCATGATAAAAATCTTCCAAATATTTTATTTTTTTTCTATGACCATCTGAAAAAGATTCAGAGGGCTTTTGCGGAAGTAATATCTGCATATTAATATTTGGACGATAAGTTTGCCTTACTGTAAGTCGAGGGAGACAAATATTGAACTCGTATAGCTCTGCTTTTGATTCAACATTAACATATAAAATATGAAATTCCTCATCAGCATTAGCTCTAATTTCTTTGAGTTCTAATGAAATTGTCTCTGCTATTCTCATCATCTCAATCAAATCAATATCAGGTTTTTGAAAAGTATTACATAAAATAGTTGTATAATTAAATAATTTATTAATACATTCTAATGCGGAAAAAAAATTTGGTATAAGTATTGAATTCAGTAACTTGCTTGCTTCTGAAGAAATATCTTTTTCAGACATTGTGATATTTCTATAAGAGCATTAATAATCGGCTCTTCTAACTCGATAAAAGCTGTTACTGCTTGATGTCGAAGACTCCATCTTGTTGGACAAGCTTTTTGCAATTTTTTTCTCCTTGTTGGGCAAGGAGTTTCAGATATAATTCTGTTCAAAATATTTTGACGCTTGGGGTATCTAAACATCTCATAGATGCTAGATATTTTACCTGATATAAATATAAAAAATTTAATTTAATAATTAAAAACCTAAGCAATTTGATATTAATGGTAAAGAACGATATTGCTAAGTTGAGTGAATGGGCAGCACAGTGGACATATATAGCTGTTGGGCATTTTTTTAAATAAATGCCTGAAGCCCATTGAATTGTCCACTCATTGCACGTGCTCCATCATACCCTTGCCCACGTATCATGTTTATATTTAGCTATATTTTTTTAAATAATTATATAATAAGACTAATTATTACTTTTAATTTTTTAAGATTCACAAATATTACATCAGCTAAAGCAGACCCAGTCATGTTTGAAACAGGAATAAATTGGAGAAACATTTCTTTGATAATGTTTTTATGAGTATCTACATATCGCGCACACAACGACATCTGCTCAATGCCAGCAATGTCCGTGGTCTCATTTGCCAAAATTGAGAAGCATGGGGCAGAATTGATTTCAACAATCAATTTTTCTAAAATGATATTGTTGCAAATATCAATTATCTCATTTTATATCCTAGGGCTGAGATAAGTAGCATTTTTATTGGTACTAATGAGGCTCTCCATTAATACAGGATCTCCTAATGCTTTAAATTTTAAAAGTCCACGGAAATTACCTTCATTATCATTATTATTAAAATTTAAGCTTCCTGAATCCTTGTGGCCACGAAGTGCTAGGCCTTGCAAGCCACAATATAAAATAGCCTCAATAGTTAATTTTATCTTGCCTCTATTTTCTTTTGCAATTTTAACCCTATTTTTATCAATTATTGATGAAATGGGAATCATATCCCCCTTTCGAATTGATTCTTTTGAGGAAATCATCAGTTCACAGCTTTTGTTTATTAAATTATGTTAAAGATGAAAAAAAAGTTTTTTTTTATCCTCCTCTTTTATTATGGTTAAGATGAAAAAGTTTTTTAATCCCCCTCTTTTGTTTATGTTAAAGATAAATAAAGTTTTTTTTAATACCCCTCCTTTGTTTACAATAAAATGAAAGTTAAAAAAAAGGTTTCTCTTTTTGGTCCTTCTTTTGTTTTAAATTAAACACAGTGAAAATAAAACATATAGCTTTTGTGTTTTCTCTCACTTTACTGGATTTCTTACTTTAGGAGTCCTCAGTAAGGTGATCCGAAAATATGAGTTAGACCGTTGGGTCCGGGAGACCACCCTGCATCCCAAGGTATATTTTGAGTTTCGGTAAGTTTAGGGGGGTAGGTTTTATCCCCAATTATGTACGATAAAACTAACACAACTCGATTCCACAAAAACGTTCTTTTTTTCACTTTGCGCCAATTTAATTTTAATTTATAATTGCGCCTTTTATTTTCCCTATAAAAGGGACGAATTTTTTATAGTTTAGGGTTACTTTATTTTTTCCTGTAAAATAATTTTGAAAATCTTTATTAATCTTTTTTATGTTTAAAATAATGTTGAATTTTTTATAGTTTAGATATATCTGATTTTTCTTTTTGTAAAATAATTTCTTGATATTAATAAAACGATAAATTAAACAATAATGTCTACGACTCGTTCACAAAATACTTCAAATTATCATACTATACTTTTTTGCTTTTTGGCATGATTTTCACCTTCAGCGTTTTTAAAAAAAAGTCTAATATCCATGACTAGAAATTTGAAAATTATAATACCGGGAAATTTAAAAATAATAGATAAATATTACGCCACAAGGAAAACTTGAAAATGAAATTAATTGATAAAGTAAATTAGTAAATGAAAAAGGTAATAATATAAAAATTTAAAAAGAAATAGATATGAATAATTATAATAAAATATAAAAATATAAAAAATAATATTTTTGAAAAATATGTCCGGCATCTGCATTTTGGCTTTGGGGGGGGGGGGGGGGGTTGTCCCCCTGCCCCCCTTGCTGCGTATGCCAATGAGTCTATGGCATTTGATTGGGAATCGGAGGATGATATAGCACTAACTGACAACGAAGAAGATGAATTTGATCCCATATTTGAAGAATATGCGTTACACGATGATGATGCTAGCTGCCATGGAATTTTGGATGATCAGGATATTTGTAATCAGATAAGATGAGAGTTGGAAGGTTTAATTCCCCCCCCCGCTGCGTACGCCAATGGTATATTCTATAAAAAAACCATTTCCAAAAAGTATTCATTAGGTATTTGTATTTAAACAGATTTTCTAAATTTTTTGTAGATTCATATATAATTTTTTTTGTTATTCCATGGCAAATCAACCAGTGATTCGAACAGCCATTTTAAAAATGGATGTAACTTGATATTAAGTTAAATAGAATGTATCTTTTATGTACACCTAAATTTTAATACCTTAACTCAAATATATCTCAAGTTATGGACCTTCAAAGTTTAATGGGAGTTTTTTCCTCTTTTATCGAATATCAAATACTCAAAATATTTTTGGTCTTGATTAACAACTAACAAGTTATATATCATTTGTAGCCCAATTGCAAATATTATTTTAAAATATCTTTAGTGTCATTTTATTTCGGGTAAAACAAAAAATGCTTTTTGAAAATTGTCCTATTTAAAACGATGAAGTTCATGAAATGTATTTATTACCAATATATTTACATATTTAACTAAATAATTAATGGAGAAAATAAAAATTTAAATTTTTTTTAGTTTTTATAATTTTAGGGATAGAATATAAAAGACATTTAAAACAATAACTCATCAAATATGTTTATTACCCTTTATATTTTAATATTTAAGTAAAAATAATATTGGAAAACATAAGAATTCAAATTTTATTTTGTTTTTATATTTTAGGAATAAAAAATCAATTATAGAAGGTATACTATCTATAAAGATAATTATAATATATTTTCTTTTTATTGGAACTTAAAAAAAATGTATTTCTTTTAATATAGAAATATTAATGATAATTTATAATATAAAATTTATATTTTTATTTAAAAGACAGTATAATTATTTTAAAAATAGCGCCCTCTATAAGTGATTTATTTATTCCTAAAAAACGAAATAAAATTTAAATGCTTATTTACATAAATATTTTTAGTTAAATATGTAAATATATTGGTAATAAACACATTTCATTAACTTCATCGTTTTAAATTACTTAATTAAATATATTGGTAATAAAGATAATTGATGAGCTTCTTCGTTGCAAACGCCCTTTGAAATGATTTTTCATTTTTAAATTAAAAAAACTAAGTAAAATTTAAATTCTTATTTTCTCCATTAATATTTTTACTTAAATATTTAAATATATTGGTAGTAAACATATTTAGTGAGTTTCTTTATTCCAAATTAGGCCCTTCTCATAAATTTTTTGTTTTACCGAAAATACAATGACAGTGAAGATTTTAAAATAATTTTTGCATTTTCTAAAGGAGAATTTTGAGAAATTGATATATAATTTGTTACTTTAGATAAAAATGTTGAGTAATTTGATATTCGTTAAAAGGAAAGGACTGCTATATCGAACTTTGAAAGTCCATAACTCAGGATATACTATAGCCAGAGTATTAAAATTTTGATTTGTTATTCAACCTGAAAGAAAAATAGAAAGTGTCAAGTTTCATTCATTTTAAAAATGGTCGTCCGAAAATCACGTTATTTCAGTCGATTTATTAAGGAATTACACAGTTAGAATAAAACAAATTTAATCGTATTTTATATTCAAATACCTTTTTATTGAAATGTATTTGTATTTATATTCGAATATATTTTCTTGAAAATTTTCCCAACCCTGTGAGTGATAAAAAATAAGGGAATTTGTGGGAGTAATATGGAATATTCCAAGAAGAGTTTTGAGATTTATATGCAGGATTATTACGGTGTTACCTTCAGCTGGGACCTTTATATTCTAGTTCATCTTGAATGGTAACTTTAAAGTGGTGAGCGTTTGGTTCAAACGAATTGAGTGGTAGAAATATAGATTTATCAGGCTGATGATTTTTCCCTATTTTAATCAGAATAATATGTTTTATAATTATCATCGGATTATATTTGTATTATTAATTTAATAATTAAATATTGATTAATTATTTTAAAAGGTTGACGGATATTCGTGTTCATGAAGTGCTCTCTGTAAATTTAAATTATATTATTCATTGCATTTAGATATACGTTATTTAAATAAACTCAAATAACATTACTTTTCTAATTATTAAATTTAAATTAATAATTTTATAATGTTTTAAAAATAGGGTACCGCTGAATTTGGGGAGAAACCCAGTCCTTCTTTTGATGAACTAATAAACGCCGAAAATATATTAAAAGAACGCAAAAAGTTACCTAAGGCCAAATACGTGACAGTTTTGAATATACCATTATTTTTTTTGTTAAATCGGAAAACTACTGTCTATGGAACTTTTTTACTTATAATTAGCATGTTTGTATTTCTAGTGTTCTACATAAAATATTTTTTTATAGGTAAGCGGAAGAGAATTCAAAAACCTCAATTTTATTTTCCTGAAGAGAGGGGGGGGGTGGCTAATTTTGAATTTTTTTCCGAGGTTTATCCCCCGTGATTCCATCTTGCTAATTGTGTTAGTTCCGGATAAATTGAAAGTGAACCGAAAGATTCTAAAAATTTTATATGTTTGATGTCGAAAAAGGGATCGAGGTTCTTCTTCACTTGATTTCATTTTATTGCTATTAAAGTTATATGTTTAATTATTTTTTATAAAATAGCACTCTATAAGATGTTATTTGTAAAAATGTTAGAATCATATATCATGATTAAATAGTTTATAGAAGTTATTAGGAAGTACCCTTAGGACTAGCAAAGAATTAGGCGGTCGGGCCAATTAACTGATGTTTGAAGATTTTATATATCATATAATAATACATTTTTTTATTAATATATAATTAGTAATATTATAGTTATTATATCACACAATTAAATTAGGCAAAATATAAAATAATTTTTTTCTCTAAGTTTAATTTTTATAAAATATTTATATTCAAAATATGTCATAGTTTATCATTTTCATATTAATATTTTATATGTAAGTCTAAGTTGTAATTTTATATCAATAAAGATTGTACATTAAGATAAATAAATATAATTATCTTAGAGGAGACTTAATAAACGAACTATCTCACCAGGTTCGAAATAGTAATAAGTTTAAAAATCCACTTTTCCTAAAATAGATTTTGAATATATATTAGATATTAAAAACTTTCTCAAAAAATTATAGCTAAGAGCATTTAAGTTCTAATTTTTTTATGAATATAATTAAGTTTAAGGATATTATCTATATTATTAATTTGAATGAGTAAATTCCTTGCTAAACAAAAAAAGGTAGTACAAAATATTTGTCAACAGGGTACTAAAAATATTTTTTTTCATGCGAAGAATAGAAAAATATGCTATTATAGTGTTTTTTTAATTACGATTGGATTAATCAGCCGAATATGGACATACATAGGATAATTATGAATATACGTATGATGAACTTAGAGGTTGCCAGTCAATCTTTATGGCCATTTATTCCCGATCTCCCCTATGCTAAATTGTTCCGTGTGAAAAAGAAACACAAAAATTTCAACAATCTTTCTTAATAAAATTTTCTAAAAATGCAAGATATTTATTATAATTTTTTCTATAAATAATTTTTTTATATTATCATTCGAACAAACAATCTGTATAATAACGAGACTCTCTGGAATTCCTTTAAAAATATTAACAACCATCCTACAAAATCTTCTGATAATAAATATGTCATAAACACCTACGATATGACAAATAAAGATCCCAATGTTGCCTTTATGAATTACCGAAATTTATATGTGAATAATAATGATGATGTGAATCTTATGAGTTCTGATAAAAATATTGAAAATAATTCAGAGATTTTGGTTATAGAAAAAAGGGAAATATTTGACAACAAGGATAAAATTGAAAATTTAGATCTTATAGGATCGGGAGAATATTGGATAGGCAAGGATTACAGTAACTTAATTTACAAAGATTTTGCGCAAGTGAATGAGCCCTTCACTGGTGATTATTTTTAGTTATATTTAGTTAGAAAGCCTGCATATATTTTTTAAGGTTTTTTTTCATAAAAATTTTTAATGCAGATAATGTTTATGATAATTTAACCACTACGTCTTTTATCAAAATTTTAGAAGAAAAAATGAGCAATAAAGGTTTTATTAATAATTCCCTCCTTAATATTTCACAATGAAATACAAATTTTTCTAAATCTTTATAAATATGATAACAAAAAAGATCTTATAGATAGGAACAAAATTCCTAGGATGCCATGGCATGATGTATCAGCTGTTCTATACGGAATTCCGGCCATGGATATCAGCCGTCATTTTATAGAAAGATGGAACCAAACTGTAGTAAATATATTATCAAATTTACAATTTTCTTATACATACATAATTTAGCATATTAGAATAAAACGAATTATTCGGAATATTTAATAAAGCTTTTAATAAATCTAACGTTTGTCATTTCTATTTGATGACCTTCGAATCTGACAGGTGATGTTTATAAAAAGACTAGAACAAATTTAAAAAATTTCTGAAGAGAAAATTGAAGCAAATTAAAATTTTTATTTGCCGTTTTTGAATCTGAGAAGTTTATTTTTTGAATCTCATAATAAATTATTAAATAATTACACAAACCAAAGGTATATAAAAATATAATACATCTTACAATAAATTATGGTTAGTTAGTAGCCTAATTATGTTAGAGGAGATTGCTTCTGATAAAATAGTTATGCTTGATGTTGTTATGCTTGATGCTGAAGTTGATAAAATTTCCCACAAAAAGAGCGATTATATGGGATCAATATCAAATCAATAATGACGGTGAATTAGATGAATCATTGCATGAGCATTATAAAATGTAAAGGCAAAACAACATCTCCTCTTATTAATCATTATAATAGGTTTGGTTTCATTCAAACCTAGGGATAAAAGGAACATCAACTCTTAGTTGGAACTAATTTGTTGTCAAAAAATCGCATGTCATATAAGGAAGATAATATAAGAAAAACTCTGCCTTAAAAATTGGCTTAGAATTATGAATTAAATTGATAATATACATTTTAATTTTGTTTATAACTTGATTACATATTTTTTATTATCAGATTATTAATACATATTTTTTATTATCAGATTATAATATTAATTTTTTCTGTTTGAAATCAAATTATCAATAAAAAAAATTGTCAATATATTTGTGTATGATATATTTTATTAAGAAAATTCATTTCAATTATTCGAATAATTCAAATCGAATACCTATAGTAGATTTTATTATTCGTACGAATACGAATAGTTACTTTCTAGAATTGAAATAAAACAAGATAAGCAACGTAATACTATTATATAGGCCTATTCAAAAACAAATTCGAATCGAATAGTGCATTACACATATCGATTCGCTTAAATATTCCATCCAAAAAAAATTACGCAAGCCTGAGGATTTTGCTCATAGAAGGAACAAAGGTCTAGACATATATTAACGAAATCTCGAGGCTTAGGCATAATTTTTCTGGCTAAAATATTGAGTTAGCCGTTTTAAAAAATCGGCTCAAAATGAGCCGTTTAACATCACTACTAGAAAGTGAAATAGGGAATTTTATAGCAGGCGTGTAACCAAGTCTCTTTCCCTCATCGCAAAATTGCCTGTTCTCATAAATATCATTTTAAAAGTAATAAAAAAATTTCCCTAGACAGCCATCACCCCAAAAAATATAAACAATATATTATGAATTTAAGAGATAAATTAGTTAACTATTTAAATATAGAATTCAAAAAATTTAGAAATTACATTTTTATAAAAAAAAATGAAACCCCAACATTATTTTTGTAATATAGCCAAAGGATTATAACACGTGGACCTAAAGGTCTTCAATAAAATTTATAGCGGGAAACCCACCTAATAATGTACACCCCCTAACAAAATCCCTGATACTCTTATGTTTTGTAGGTAATAATATTTCATAAATGCTATTAAGGACTATGCGGTTCAGTAAAACATTTAAAATATAAATTAATTTTTAAATTTTTTACTTGTAAATTATTCATGTGTATATTATTTATACGGAGTATAAAAATATTAAAAAATTATGTAATTTTAAGTCAATATTTCTTTATGATCTCCAAACCCTAAACCAGGACCCTTTTTTAAAATTTTATTCCTGAACCCGGTGGACCTAGACTCTTTTTTTGTCGAAGGGTTCACATCCCTGATAAATTAATTATATTAATTTTTTTGTATTTTAAAAGGTAGAAAAACTTAAAAAGAAATATAATTTTCCTCTTTTGTTGCCAAAATGCTATGATAACTTAAATGAGATTCCAAGAAATATCACTGATTCCATGATAGAATGCAAGGAAATTCAAGTTTAAATTACCTTTATTATCTAAATTTTATAATCTATAAAATCGCAATTTAAAAAAATATATATTAAACCCAAGCTATATAATTATTAAATATGATCTCTTTTACATAAAAAGATACATCATTATTGAATATAGTTTTTGTGGACATACCATAAGGAAAATGGATACAAATTGTAAAAGAGTTTAGCTTTAGGAAGAGCAATGTACAAAGAATATTCGAATTAGAGCCAATATTATTAATTTTTAAGCTGAAACAATAAAATAATGATAATAAAATGAGAATCTATAAAATTATTCAAAATAATTTTTATAAGCACAGAAATAAGCTCATAGATTTTCGTAATCAATAAATATAAAAAATCTTTATTAATTATTTATTAAAAATGGATTGTGTGCGATCAGCAAGATATTTGTTACTTTTTTCTGGCTCTCCGAAGCCCTTAAAAATTTTAAAAAATGCACAGATGTGCCGATCTAATTAAATGTTCTTTAATCTTGATTGGGCAGGAAATATAATTTTTTATACAGCAAATTATAAACATATCTTGTGGTTTTATCAAACTGAGAAGATCATGGCACAGGATTTTGCAAAAATCCTATACAATTTTAAAAACAATGACTAACATTTAGATATTTTATGGCCACAAAGGTATAGGAGCATTTAGAATAATGCTTTACTGAAAAATTTATTATTGCATGACAAAATAAATTATAATGAAGTAAAATTTATTGATGGCATATGATTTATAAATCAGAATGCTTATAATGAGCGGCATCTATAACATTAATATGGTTCTTTTTCCCAGAGTTGTTAAAGGTACAGGAGCGTACATTTTTTCAAAAACGAGGGCCCCTCCTTTTTAAAAATGAGGAGTGGGGGCGGGAGCTAGCTCCTTTTAGGGCTGGAGTGGAAGAGCGCCACTCCTTTAAATTTAAAGTATAAATTAAAATATTTTTTAAATATTAATAATTTTTGTTCATTAAAATTCGATAAAAATGAAATTTTATTTAATTTAAATTTATCCATTATTAAATGTTGAGCCGAGTTTTATATTGGTTTTTCTTCTAATCATTTTAAATATTAAACATCAAGTTTTTCATTTTTATATTGAAAATTTTTTGGAAAATCTTGTAAGTCATATTCATATTCATTAGATAGATATATAATAATAGT